TTGTCTAACTGTAAGAATATTTAATTACCCAGAGGTTAGAAGGGCTGAACATCCAAAGAAAGCTGAAATGATTCTGAGCTACTAGGAATTTACTTTTGAAATGAACCTGTGTCATTGACTTCATCTTTGTCCAGGACTGGTTGTGTAACTGGGAGCCCTCTAAATAAACTTTCAGTGTGGAATACAAAATTTGTTAAAGATTCAACAACAAAAATGTGTTAATTTGTAACATATTATTAAAATTGAACAATAACCTCAGCAATTGTTTAGAACTTAGACCAAATAAAGATTTTTGGCTTAGGAGTATTTTATCACTGACATTATTCAGTATTGCCAGTGCCTGGTGGTAACAAAAAACAGTCTTTCAGTTGTTTGTGTCATTGATTTAAATTCCAAACAGACAACACCCCCACCCCTATTGCTTGCACCAGGGCAGAGCTCTCCCACCCTCCTGCTGTTGGTATGCCACTAGTACCTATTATGTCATTATTGGAAAAAGAAAGCTGCAGACCATCATGTGTAATGTGACTTCATTTTGTTGTTATTAAAGAAATATATTTGTATAAGCATAGGAAAAAATCTGTGGGTGCCCATCAAACTATTAACAATACTAGGAAAAAGGATACTAGGGAAAAGATTTAGTGTATGTGGGGATGGACAACTATTATATCACTTTCTAATAGATTTGTATGAATCTGATTGAATGTAACTGGTGAGAGATGATCATTGTTTTTCAAACGTGTTTTAATTAGAGGAACCCTAATATCCAGACTAACTCTTAAAAGAACCCCATTTATTAAACATAAAATCAGAATTACTGTGTTCGAAGTAGTGATGTGCACAGGTGATATTTATCTACAGTTAGCTCAGTATTCATAAAAGATTTTTCTTATTTCTGAGAGTTCGTTTTGGTTGTAAAAAATTTCATTGACATGTTAGATCTGTGGATTGTATAACTTCTTCAGGTGTGAACTGGAATGCATGCTAACAGTGGGATTGAAGAATACCGTGGTATTTCCTTAGGGGGTAGGGTCTTTGCTGCTGTCCTTCTATTCCAGTTGTGTTGTCCAGACTGTGTTTTCTTAACATTTTAAATAGATACACCCTAAGCTAATCTGCACTCCTGTTGGCTTAGAATGCTTTTCAACTTTCATGTAGGTGATGTGTAAGACATAGCTAATTAGAGATTTTTCTGTTATATGCAATAAAGCCTCATGGTTCTAGAAGTCTTAGAAAATGAATTGTTGCAGATAGCTAGGTTTACCACACAGCTGAGATTTTTATCTTCTTTAAGCACAGTATTTTTATAACTAACTATTTTGGGTGGAAATCTTTAAAAATATTCCATACTTTTCTGGGTTTTACAAAAAAAATTAAATGTTACAGGTTAATTTTCTTTATGAATTAGGAATTTTTGAGAATATACAATTTTATAGTACAGTGAATATGGTGATGTCCTCAGGGAATTAGGTGGAAAGAAAGAATGTTTCTTTATTCCAAATGCCCTCAGATACTGTGTATTTTAAGTTTTTGTATCTATCTTCCCCTTTACTATAAGGCTGATGCCTATCATTTCTTCTTCCTATTTCATTTATCAGCATTTTCTTTTTCTAATTTGTGACTTTTAATATAGTATAGTTTTATAAACCAGGTAACTAACATGGCTAGAACTGTGTGTAAAGTAGGGTAATTAGACTCAGAATCAGAAGGACGAGCTTTCATGAGTACGGCAATATTTGTAAATGGACTTTGTGGTATCTTTTTTTTTTTTTTTTTTACTTAAAGGTCTTACCATATAGTTCTCAACTACGTTTCAGATAGATGTTATTCCCAGGTAGCTGAGATTTATTTATGATAATATGTGAAGACCATAGTATTGTCAATACACTTTTTCTTTATTAAATGTTGGGAAGAATGCAAGCTTGAATAGCAGTATTGTTATTAAAAGTGGGAGACTAAGGAAAGATAGAGTGACTTCAAGAACTTCTTGATGGGCCGGCCCAGTGGTGCGTTGGTTAAGAGTTGGCTTGGGATGCCAGCTCTGAGCAGCAGGGCCCCGGTTCGGATCCCACATGAGGGCCAGTGACGCTGCGCCCCCTACAGCTAAGATGGTGAACAACAGCTCGACCTAGAGCTTGACTGCTATGAGTCACCGGCAATGGCATAGGCTGCCGTAAGCTACCGTGAGTGGCTGGCAGCCGGCGTGAGCAGCCAGCAGCCGGCGTGAGCTGCCAAGAGCCACCATGAGCGGCCGCCCAGTGGCCAAGAAGAATGATCTGCCTCATCTGGGAAGAGTGCAATGATAATACCAACATGGGCCAGTGAAGCAACGTCCTCCACAACTAGACTGAAGAGCAAAAAGGACAGCAACTTGTCTGTTCCCCTTCCCCCGATTCCCCAACACTGTTCCCCTCCCCCAATTTCCCAATAAAATCTTTAAAAAAAAAAAAAGAACTTCTTGATAAGAGAGCAAGATTAGATTTTCAACTGGGTTAGTGAGTAGTCAGCATTCAACTTCTTTCCACCTGGACTAGGAGGCCAAGGAGTCATGTCTTATGTGAAAAAGCTGCGTTGGATGTATATATCTTTTGTCATAATATTCTGAAACTGTAAAATAGAGATGTTACTATGGCAACATTTTAATTAAAGTCTTTTAGCAGAATAGTAAATAGTGGAATCATCAGGGAGGGTTGACTTGACTATGGGAATGGGAAAGGGAAACAATTTTATTTCAGTTGCCTTTATTTGAATTATTACAAGAATCTATTTCTAAAATGTAAATTGAGGAGGACAAAAAGTGGTTTGATCTGCCTTCCAGATGCTTTGCTTATGATTTGTATATTAATAATAATCATAGCCTTTTATTAAGCACCACAGGCACTGAGCTAGGAACTTGACGTGTATTGCTACCTCTGGTCTTCATATTACTTATGAATATGAAGTATTATTTTCCTCATTTTAAAGCTAAAGAAATTTTAACTTGCTCAGGGTCATGCAACTGGTCACAAGTGAACCAGAATTTGAAGTGAGGTTTATATGCCTCCTGAGTCTTCCTTTTTCTCCACTGAGCTGCACTGAATAAAGTACCTCTCCTGGTGGGACGTGGAAGCAGTGCTTCACCTGTGGTCCCCATCATGGGTCAGCTAGGCCAATTACAGAGTTTTGACTAAAAAGCAAAGAATAATCTATTAAACAACACCTGAGCGTGGATATTAGTAATCTCTGTATTTATTAAAAATTAATTTATAGCCAAAGCAAGATACGATTTCAAGGAAGTTTATTTTCATTTTTTTTTCTTTTTAGTCTCATGGCTTTTCTCTTAGAATATACATAATAGTTTTTGTAAAAGTTCCATGAAAAGAGTTTAATGAACTCTTCATCTTTCATTCGTCTTTTGGAGAATTACAGTCCCTGAAGCTGAAAAATTTAAAAGTAATGTTTTGAATTTTGCTTAACCTGCTTCCCCAATTTATTGGCTTAGCAAACCCCTCCCTAAGCCTCTCTCCTTACCACTGTAATGTCTGTTTAGATCCCACGGGTATGTGGGACATATTTGAGGGGAATGCTTGACTATAACTTAAATTTCAGACTCACTTCAGCCTCTTTTCATTTGAAAAGCCTCCATGCTGAGGAGCTTCACATCAGATTAGCAGAAAAAGCTCTTGCAATAGCTTTTTAAAATTTTTTTGTCTAGCGAAAGAGACTTAGCTACCTATGGAAAACTTCCTCTGGAAAGATCTGATTTGCACTTTGTAATAGAAACAGCATAGATGTTAGACCTAAGTTGGAGTCTACAACTTAATTGCTGAGTGACCATGGAGAAGCAAATTTTGTGTCCATCAGTCTTCATTTCTTCATTTGTAAAATGAGAATAATGTAATCTTAAAAGAGGGATTTTTAGAAGTAGGTAAGATATACAAAACAACTAACAGAAATACGCATTTCATAGCTACTCAGAGCATGATGGCTTTTCAGTACGTCTTCCCGCTTCTCATCACGGCCCAGGTGAGAGAGGATACAGACCAGCAAGGATGTCATGGGCAACGTGAAGACCTGTTTCTACCTTTTTCCTATTAGCTGTCTTTCTGGCGGCCTGCCTCTGAGTTACCAGGACAGGAAACACACGAGGTGCCCTGTTTCTATTAGAGCACTGGAATTAGTAATGACTTTGCATGCTTTGCAGGTTTTTTATGGTTTGTATCTGTCAGGTTTTGCTTGTTTGTTTAATAGGACTTCGGTTATATCAAAACTTAACCTCTAAAGACGTGTATGTAGAATATTTGAGGCAGGGATATAAAGTTATTTTTCGTACTCTACTTAGCTCATTGTTGTACATGTTCAAAGATGATAATTGAAATTATACTACATTTATACCTTTTTTACTTATACATTATTTCATCTTTATTGTTGTAGTACTCAGAATTTTTTTCATCCTCATGGAAATATTATGGAGTATCTCAGGAAGAATTTAAATATTTGACAACAGATGCTTTTGGTGTTTATTTGCTTTAAGGAATGGAATTAAACCAGAAGAGATTATGTTCTCTTCCAGTGATTAATAACACATGATTTCTTTTAATGCATCTAAAAAGTATTTTATATGAGACATGCATTTTAATTTCTTATAATGATTCTTTTGGCATATATTCTTTAAACTTGATTTAAAAAATTGTATGCAGTTAAATGGAATTTGAGGAGAAACAGAGGTATGAAAATTCACTTGAATTGTGTTTGCTTTTGTTATTGAGATATTAGACATTTTGAAATTTCAGAAATGTGAATACCCATGTTCAATCAGAGTAAGAAAAGCCTTCGCCTTCAATGTTTCTAATAAGCCGTGCTCTTGTTAGACATTAAAACTACAATGTAGTTTTATCACTGTGACTTTAGAACTGATTGCTACAGTAACCAAATATTAAGAGGTAAAGTTACGTTGTCTCCTGCATAGAAAAATAAATGTCTGGAAAATGTCAGGTAACTTTCATATTTTCTTTTCTCAGATTTATAATGACCGTTTAATAGCTAATGAAAAACAGCATATAATCCAGTGGGAGGAGTTCATGAAAGAACAACACAACAAACAGGCTGAAATGGATGAAGAGCACAGAAAAGCTATGGAGAGGCTTAAAGAACAATATGTGGAGATGGAGAAGGACCTAGCAAAATTTTCAACCTTTTAAGAATTTGACACAACAGTTACAAACCGATGAGAAAACTGATGACTTCCACCAAAAAACGATTCTCACCAAAACATTTAGCCTCTGCTTCAAGCTTAGCAATATATTGAGTGGCGCTCATATCAGAAGAAAGGAACTTCTGCTGGGGTCTTAATTAAATGTTTAAAGCAGAAGAGTGCTATACTTTTTCAGTTTTAAGTGCCTATATATGGTTATTTGAATGGGCAGGAGTAGGAGGAAAATGGGATAAATTTACTTTGTTAATCAGAATTGGTCTTCTTTTCCATTGATTATCTCAGAGAACTATAAGCCTAAAGTTCTTAGAAAAATAATTCATTCTTATGCAGGACTAATGCTAGTTTATTATTGTGGCTTAGAAGGCAGAGGAAATAGCTGCCTGTTATACCCTCCCTGGCTATTGGAAGAATATATAAAGTGTTATTCCATGAGTAATGTAGACAAAAACAACTGGCCTTGGAGCAGAGATCACACCTACGAGAGGTGAGAATCAAAACCTCATCTCTGCTATGGCAAAGACAGCCATGATGGTCTTCGAACTGCCTGTTGGGAAAGGTTACAGATTTTGCAGGGCCGCATAATGCCTTGTGTTTCACTGGATGACAAGACAGACTTGTGAAGCTTTGTGGCCTTCAGCACTTATTATTTTCAGCTTTTGAAACATGGCTTAGAAGGAAAAGCTTACCAAAAATATAGTTCACTTAGCCTTTCCAAGAACACTTAGACCATAGTATTTACCTCATTTTTGTGTCTGTTTTGCTGTGGGTAAGCTTTGTAAGTTAAATAACGTCTATACATGTTTCAGCCATTTAGTGAGTAATCAGCAAAATCTGCCAAGGGGTCCCTCTGGAACCGTGTAAAGATTCTGGTTCTGAATATACCCGAAGTATTTGCCCAGATGGCATATGATCCATGTTAAATGTAAATCCTTTTTAGTGTTAACGTCTGTCCTCATAAGCAGGTGTATTACAATGAAACATGTACCAATTCTGTCATCACTGTGAACTTTAAAAATCTGCACTGAACCATCTAATTGAAGAAGTAAGTTGATTTTTTATTTGCCACAATGAGGCAAAATTAAATGCAATAATTTCACGAGACTTACGGCAAATGAATTTGATGTATGGATAAATCTTTCAAATATTTTTTATTGCTCTTCAGTAAAGAAAGGCACAAGAAAGAAAATACCCAACTCCCTCATATTATCTCAGTGTTGCTAGTGCAGAAAACGGACAATGCTTGCTTGTGTGAATTTATGGCTTACTGTCAAAGCTTCATTCTTGGCTGCATGTTGAAAATGTGATTAAAGTTAATAGAGGAGATGAAATAAGTATTTGAGATTTCTTTCAATAACACTGAACTTCTGCCAACTTTCTCTGTCCGCTACTGTAGGCTTGACAGGTTCATCAATCATCCTCTGGTACCTGGACCAAAAAGAGCACTTGCTGACACTAAGGCATGTTGGAATTTTCTTAATTCTCTTTCAGTGAATGGGGAAAAAAAACATACTTCCAAAAATATCCCACACATGAAAAGGGAGGGGAACCTTAAATGAAAATTCCCTTTGTACCGCAGGCAATATTTGGAATGCTATTAATTGCCAGTGCACCACTGAACAGACGCTGGAACCAAGAAATCAGGACTGTGTGTGAGCAAGAATGTGCTCCTGTTACTCGACTTGTACAACGAGGATTTCTGATAGTGTTTGTTCATCTCCTATGAGTAATAAATACTTTACCATATGAGTTTGTGTATATTATATAAGGATCTAAGGGACTTCTTAAACCAAAAAAGAATTAATGGGTTTTTTGACCTTTAAACATTAACATACTAACTTCTTTCTTTGTAACTTTGTCAGTCAATATGAACTTCTAAAAGAGACTGTTGGTTTGCCTTCCTTTTAATATTTTTAGTAGTGAACACTTGCATTTGTTTTCCCAGTTTCCAAATCACTTTTAATATGTATTATATAAACTTTTTATATAGTAATTACATAACTTACAACATTTCTGCTGGTTATGCTGTTGAGCAGAGATAATATAGGCTCCATGTAGCTCACAGGATTCTTTTGTGATGAAATGTTTTGTCATTTTAAAGTGCTATAGAAATATTTGTTTTTAAGTTCTAAGTGTTTTCAGTTTTTCATTATGATTTCTTTTTTGACATACATATGTGTTGTTTTCATTTCATTTCCTAACATATAGATTTTTAAATTCAGTTCTGATTATTGATTTCAGCTTTAATTGGATTATGGTCATAGAATAGGTCCATATAAAATTAATATGTTGAAATTGAGATTTTCCTTATGACCTGTGGTCAGTTTTTGTAAATGTTTCAGTAGTGCTTGAAAGTATGCATATTTTCCAGTTGTTGGGTATCCATTAGACCAAATTTATTAATTGTCTTGTTCACATTGTCTTTGTTTTACTGTTGTTTTTCCTCCTACTTGATCTCTCATTCTGAGATAGTTGAAATTTTCTACTCTAGTGGATTTTTTTTGTTTGTTTTATTTATTTAATTTTATTTTTATTTTCTAGTGGAGTTTTTAATATCTCCCTGTAACTCTTGTCAATCTTTATTTTGTGTATTTTGAAGATTTGTTATTGTGCATGCAAGTTTAAAATTGAGTCATATTTATAGTCTTAGCTTCTATTTCTAATAATTTTTTGTTTCATTTTATGTTGCTTTAAAAGCTATGCTTAAAAAATATTTATACAGACCATACCAACTGGTTAGTATTTTTATGGTATATATTTTCTTTATCCTTCTTAAGGATGTGCCCCTTAAAAGCTGTAACTAGACTTTTTTTTCTTTCTATCTGATTATCTTTTACCTGGAGAGTTTAGTCCATTTACATTTATTGAACTTATTAATATATTAGGGTTTATACCATCTTATTGCGCTTTTTGTCCTACTTTTTCTGTTTCCTCACTGCCTGTGTGGTTTTTGTTTTGTTTTTGCCTTCTTTCAGAATGATAAAGTTTGTTTTGTTTTGTTTCTCCATTTACTTTTCCTTTACTAGTTTAGAAGGTATAAACTCAATTTTTATTTTAGTGCTTACTAAGAAATTTAATTTGCATAGTTAATTTAAAATCTAAATATCTTTACTTTCTTTCTAAACATAAAGAAACTTTTGAACAAAGTCAGGTTTTCTCCCCTCAACTTACAAATTAGTGTCTAGAATTTTAGTTTTATCTCAGTTTAACTTCAAAAATTGTTCAGTTTACAGTAAAAATTTGTTTAGATTTACCTACAATTTACCATTTTTATTATCCTTGAAAGTTAGGTGGGTATACATACAATTCTAGATTGACAGTTATTTTCTCTCATTATTTAATGATATGATTTCACTGTCTTCTTGCTGCCATTGTTGCTTCTGAAATGCCAATTGTCAGTGTGATCAGTACCTCTTTGTAGCTAATATGTCTTTTCTTGGGTTGTATTTAAGGTCTTTATCTTTGTTCTATAATCAAATGTCATTATACTGCAGTGTGTCCAGCTGTGTACTTTTCATATTCTGTTCAGATTCCTTGAGCTTCTTGAATCTGAGAATTAATGCCTTTCATAAATTAAAAAAAATTCTCAACGTTTATCTTTTTGAATATAGTACTTTCCCCATTCGTTCTGTTCTCTACTTCAGGAAATCAAATTACTTAAGTTTCACTATCTCACTCTGTTCTCCATATCTCTTTGTCTCTGATCCATATTTTCTATCTTTGTCCCTATGCGTTGAATTCTGAATAATTTCTTTAAATCTGTTGTCTATATCACTAATTCTATCTTCTCACTGTCTCTAACCTATTTAACCTGTCAAATTTTTAATTATAGTTTTGTTTTTAATTTCCAGAAGTGTTATTTGGTTCTTTCTCATACTTTCTTAGTCACTTGGAGTAGTTCCCATTATTGCCGCTTTTTCTTTTCTTTAAACATATTAAATGTACTTTTTTTGTGGATCTGACTCTACAGTTTGTTCTTTTGTCTGAAACAAGTTTATGGTGACTTGTTTTGTAATGATTTTTATTGTGAGTTCATATTCCGAACTTTATTTTGGGGAATTTTTTGTTTAAATTATGTTCCTACAGAGAAGGCTTCTTTTTCTAACACCACTAGTTTGTTTCTTTTTGTTTGTTTGTTTCTTTTTAAAGATTTTATTGGGGAGTTGGGGGAGGGAAACAGCGTTGGGGAATTGGGGAAGGGGAACAGACAAGTTGCTGTCCTTTTGTTCTTCAGTCTAGTTGTGGAGGGCGTTGCTTTACTGGCCCCAGTTGGTATGATCATTGCACTCTTCCCTGGTGAGGCAGTCGCTCGCTGGCCCTTGGATGGCTGCTCACGGCGGCTGCCGGCTGCTTATGGTAGCTTATGGCAGCCCACTGCAGCCCCGCTGCAGCCTATGCCATCACCGGAGACTCGGCAGCCCAGCTCCAGGTTGAGCTGTTGTTCACTATCTTAGCTGTAGGGGGAGCAGCGTCACTGGCCTTCATGTGGGATCCGAACCGGGGCCCTGCTGCTCAGAGCTGGTGTCCCAAGCCAAATCTTAACCAACGTGCCACTCAGCCTGCCCACTAGTTTGTTTCTTGTATTAATTCAAAGTCAGTTTTCACCTTGGGTTTCCTGTCATCTCTCTCCCCTTTTCTTCAGCACATGAATGCTCACACAAACAAATAATATGAATTTCATCCTTAAACATGTCGATGTTGGGCTATGATAAGGCATTCCTAGAGGAAACTTTTTCCCCCATCACAGTTCTATTTCAAGTAAAGAAGAAGAAAAACTTGAGATGTTTTCTAGTTCATTCACTGAGAGTGGTGAGGATTCACCAGTTGTGCTGCTTATCCCACTCAGTCCATTATCAGCTGAATTGTGTCCCTCAAAATTCATATGTTGAAGCCCTAACACCCAATGTGACTTCAAGATAATGGCCTTTAAGAGGGTAATTGAGGTTAATGAGGTCATATGGGTGGGGCCCTAGTCTATTAGCACTGGTGTCCTTATAAGAAGAGGAGGAGACAACAGAGTGCTCTCTCCCCATGCACACTCAGACAAAAGATAGAAAAAAGGTGGCCATCCGCAAACCATGAAGAGAGGCCTCACCAGAAATGGAATTTTCCAGCACCTTGATCTTGGACTTCTTCCTTCCAGAACCAAATTCCTTTGGCTTATGCTCTGCCATCTGTGGTATTTTACTATGGCACCCAGAGCCGACTGATGCGGTCCCAGATAATGATTCTTGTCCCCCATGCAGGCGTGGCTCCTTAAAACTGGGGTCTTTGGGGCTGCAGGAAGGGAGACATGCCTTTGGGACAATCACCAGTTCCAGAGCTAACTTACCCTATAGAGTTTCACTTTTTCCTGATCTGCCTTCATTTGTTTTTATTAATTTGCCGTAAACTCAGCCATGAATTAAAAATATAGTTAAATTTTTTTTCTAGCACTTTTGGTGTTCAGTAATTAGTAAGATTTCTCCATATAGAAATGGCATGTTAGACAAGTATATGTTGATTTTATTATATTAAAATTCCTGCCCCCCAAAAAATGACCATATTCTAGTATAAAATATGGTACCTTTTCTTTCAAATATTGTGTGAAATATTTTCTATTTGATTGTTTCTTATTATTGTCCGTAAGCTAATTTGATTCTTTCTGTTACTTGTACAGATTCTTTCTTTTTACTATTTGTGAGCTAATGAAAGCAAAGAGTACAGTAGTCATTCCAAACCCTACATAATTCTTACCCAAATACTTCATGTTGGATTCCTTTTTTTTTTTTCTTTTTAGAACATTATTGTGGTTTGTAACAATATCCCAGGTCCCTATCATGGATGTGTAGATAGAAGTACTGGATCTGTGGTATTAGACCCAAAGTAACATGAAAATCAGAAGGAGTCACAAATGCCTCCTGGATACATCATGAATTCTCTTCTTTGCTCCTGTAACACATAGGCTTTCTATTTGAACACTTTCATTTACTTTCTAAACTGTTTTCTAATGGACGTGTCTTTCATTATATTGGGCTCTGGTTGCATTGCACATTAAAAGGTAGAGGTTTTTATTGCTTTGGAATATAGCATGACTGCTTTTCCTGAAATTGTATCTTAGGGGCTCTTTTTTGCCATTTGGGGCTATGAGTCTGTATGTATCTCAGGATAAAAAATACCAGAAAAATATTTTAAAACATAATTCAGTCAAAATACTTGAAGCTACCATTATAGAAAATATATTTCCTAGTAGATTGTTCTTAATCCTTCAGAAATGTTTTATAATTATTTCTTTAATTTTTAACTCCAATAAAATGTGAATATTAATGTTTTATTGACTTAACGCAACTCTGGTTCATACAATGAAAGGAAGATCAAAATCAATTAAACCCTGCTCTTCCTTATTCTTCACATTTTTAAATTTTAACTGCTGAAAGCAGTGCTTTCTTGTGACTTGCCTGGCAATATTAGCAAAGTAGTATTTTCTGTGGTATTTCCATATTGATGTTCCATAAGCAAGAGAAAAGAAACTTAGATTTTCAAATATGACGCACTCCGTAGAGCAATAAATTAATATATACACTAACATTTGATGCTCACAAAAATTCAAGATTGAGATTATCTCTGAAGAAAGTCAAAATCAATTTAAGGTAAGTAAACACAATACTTGATATAACACAGCTTAGAGTTTGAGGTTTACAGTATACTTTTAAGTGCCTTATGTAATTTAATCTTCATTCTTAAAAC